TCAGGGACAAGGGAACAACAAGGGATGCAAAATCAACTGTGAGGAGGGTGTAGAATGCCTGGTAGGATTTGATCAATTGTAATGTAACCGAGCAAAATTCCTGAGCGCTGAATGAAGGGTGAACATGATAGAGGGGCAGGAAGAAAGTAAAAGGAAACAGAAAATAACTAGGAAGCAAAAAGTATATAGAGAGGTATAAATATAATCATGTATATATGTAAATATTTTATTATATAAAGGTAGAGGTATTGGTCTATGTACATATATTTATATGTTAAAGTATTAAGGTAGCAGATGGACTTTGGGCCTCTACTTAAGTCTTCCCACAACACAAGAATATTTTGTTCTAATAACATGGCACTGTGTGATACTCACCTTCCTGACACAATCGCTGAAGACAAAAATGGGTGGGTAAGCAAATGTGGTGAAGTAAGCTGATGGCACCCAGCTATTAAAAGATATAGTACCTGGGATCTTAAAAGCTTGAAGTTAAACAAGCAGCCATCTATCAGGGAAGCAACAAAGCCACAAGGTATACACAGTCTGATATCAGAAGATCAAAAACAAACAGTTACATCGATGTGAAAGAGGGGAGGGAAAGAGCCCATCTGTAGACAATTGGACATCCCCTCACAAAAGGGTCACATGGAAGGGATGATTCAGCCAGGGTGATGTTTGGTACCGACGAAGCACACAACACTCTGGTTCTTTAATGCTTCCTAACCCCTCACTATCATGACCACAGTTGTACCTCACAAATCTTGTTAGACCAAAGTATGTGCATTGGTACAGATAAGAGGTTTCGACACATGGAAGCCAGGATATATAAATCCCTCAGAAATAGTAATGGGATTAGTGACACCATGAGGGGAGGAGATGGTAGGAGGAGAAGGGGGAGAAAGGGAAACTGATAGCAATGATGGATGTAATCTCACCCCCTCCAGGGGACAAGAAACAGAAAGGTGGGTGAAGGGATAGTGTACGATATGAATATAAATATATATTATTATTTTATATATATATATAATTTTTCAAGGGTCCACGAGGTGAGAATTGTAGCGGGGGGGGGAAAGGAGGAGCTAAAATGATGATGGCAACATATGTATAAGTCTGCTTCATATAATTGATTTATGGATTGTTATAATATCTGTAAGAGCCCCCAATAATTTGATTTAAATTTTAAAAATATAAATACAGATTTATATATTTAAAATATAAAAATTAACACAGAGTTTTAAAATAGCAACTAAATATAAGCAATCAATAAGAGGGGTGAAACACAACAACTTTAGATTGTGAAATTAAAGCATGGTTTTAAAATAGAATTCATTAATCACTTAAGGAATCTTGACCAAAATAGTTTAATATGCTACTGCAGTACATTTTTGTTATGGAGACACTGTATAACTTTGCACTCATAACTCCAAATAAATTAAATATAAAGTTGCTATTCCTTTCTATATCTCTTTTACTGAGAATACTATCAATAAAAATTGAAATATCTTAATTATGCAGTAATAAAAAGTGAGCTAAATACAAGATCATGCATTTGTATGGAATGTAATAAGAAGACATTTGAGAATATTCTGCCAAACTTTTTGGCCTACCGCCCTCTCTTTGGGGGAAAAATGTGATTCACTGTCCCCCTGACAAGTAAAAGCTTTTGTACACTGGCCCATAATCCAGGATAAAGTGTAGGTAACTGCTTTTGCAGTCATTACAGCACCACGAGGGTGGGTACTGCCCACTCTGGGAAACATCATTTTAGAGAAAGATCGTAGCAAAATAATTGTTTGCATAAAGGCCAATATTTTAAGATAAAAATTAAAATGTTATATTGAATTTTATCTGATTAGAATATAGATGGACAGCTTGACAGAGAAAAGTTACTTGTAGTTTACGACATGAGTCAAGATATGCCAAAATAACAGCAGTTATTAGACAGACGGCTGAAAATTCAGATGGTGCTTTATAAAATATTGATTATATTTAAATATACATTTCAACATATGCATTATTACATTAATTATAGAAAAATTAAGTAAAATATATATTTTTTGCCCTTGAATGCAATTCTAAATCAATTTTTAAAATAAACTATTTACCTGGTTCTCAATGCATGTGAAAGTTAGCTGTTACCTCAAAATACACATCTAATATAAAATATCAGATCATTGTCTTCTGAACAATTAAAACAGGATTTAGAATTTATTGTTTAATGTATGTAATCACTCATGTTATTCAAGGAACTCAGACTTATTATACAAATAAAATAATAGAGACAGCTTTTTGACCATTTGAATTCAGAAGATAGTTGACTCAATAGTAAGTGGAATTCTGAATCTGTTCAGTACAAAAGACAATGAGTAAGATGAAATACATTTCAGTACAGTGGATACATTTATCCTGTAAAGAAAGAAAATGTGAAAAATATTTCAAGTTATTTTATTATCATATTGTAATTTTTGAATTTTCTTAATAATATACTTTGATTAATTTCCATATTCGACCAACATATGTAAATCAGAAACTACAGTAAATATTGGACACAAAAATATATATTAAGCATAGTACTTATCTGAATTAAAGACAAGACCATTTTGCACATACTTTGTAAACGTCGTATATATTTAACTCCTTAAGTACTATGTTTTTTGAAGATTGAAAGCAGGCTGGAAAATTATGATGTTTTCTTAGAAATTGAAAGAAATGCATTTAAGGTTTCCACTGTCATCTGCATTTTCTTTCTGCAAACCAGGTATTCACAATTTAATTTCTAATATCAAATCTCCAGTCATTGGACACAACAGGACATTATGTTTTAAGGATAGTTCAAGTGGGATTGGCAAGAACAATCCTGCATAAGATTCCAACAATAGTCTGCTGTCATGTGTGCATCCTATCTTTCTGGGTGTCTGATTTCCATTGTTTTTATGTCTTGGTGAACTATTTTCCCTTCCTCTTCACTTGAGTCACCAAGGTTCTCAGGAATGTGATCTAAGTGTGCTGATAATGGACTTTAACAAACATGCTACAGCCAGGGCTGCTGAAATAAAAAAGTGTATGCTCTATTAATTGTGAAAAATATGGAAAGAAATGGCAGATTTGTTATCTGGACTCATAAAACAGATTTGAAGAGTGCATATGGCAAGGAATGATTCATAAGAAAAGAAGTTGAAAAGGCTGTCGGGTTCAACCATAAACAAATCATATAGGCAAACCTAAGTCATTGTACATTAACAATAGAGGCTTACTGTATTGAATTTGAGCAGGGAAATGACATGATTTTATTTGCAAACAAAACAAACAAATACATAAGAACAACCTCAAACAGGCAACCTAGAACTTGGAGGACGCAGATTATGCAGATGCCTCAATGCTGCACATCTAAATGTTGGATAAAAATAAATACATCAATCATATTTGGGCATGCATCTGTATTCAAAAGAGGAAATAAAATCAAGGACAAAATGGCCTAATGGCTTATTATACTGAGTACTCTAGGAAAGCAATATCAGTGATTCAGATAAATGTATATATAGCAAGAAATTCATGTCAAGAAATTGGATAACAGTAGGTAAGAACAGTTTAATGTCAAGTCTGTGGAACAGAGGTTAATCTGAAGGCTTTTCCTGATTTGTGTAGCTTTTGAGGCTGATGAACCTAGGATTGACAGCAAGAACACAGACTACAGAGGCAGATGAATCCAAAGTTAGTCTTGTGACTAGAGGGTGAATGAAGCAAAGTTCACAAGTCAGATGGCAGGCAGGTAGGATGGCAGGCTGCTGATGGCTACTGGGGTCATCAGGCAATATGGCAAACCATTGGCTCAAGTCCAAAGAACTGGAGGTCCACAACTTAGAATCGGGATCCAGCCCAGCAAAAAGCAACCAAGCCTTCCACTGTGTCCTTATATAGGAAGTAGGCCACACTTCTCAAGGGAATTTTCTTTCAGTTGTGTCAGAACTGTGATCTGAGTAAGGAGGTTGCGTTCCACCATAATCTATTTACGACTGCTTGGCTGCTCACACTAGAACCAATTATAGTTGATTGCATTGTGTTAGGCCACATCACAAAGGATTACTAGGCCTCAACTGCCAACACCCTTCAAATCCTTGATCAGTAAAATTGACACAAATTCTAATTATTAAGCACAATTTGAACACAAGAGCTATTATTTGCAATTGGCTACCCAAAATATGTATTAAATATCAGCAACAATGGCATATTCACCCTTATACACACCTTTCCTGATTTAAAATATGCAGTATTCCCATGTCCTATTCCAATGACTCTTAGTCTATGTACAGGTTCCATATGAACACAATGAAATATACTAGAATTTCTGGCATTCCATGATGCACACTTCCTGACATGATCACTAAAGACATACGTGTGCATAAGCAAATTTGGTGAAGAACTGATGGTGCCCGGCTATCAAAAGAAAGAGCGTTTGGGGTCTTAAAGGCTTACAGATAAACAAGCATCCATCTAGCTCAGAAACAATAAATCCCACATGGAAGAAGCACACCAGCCTGTGTGACCACGAGGTGTCAAAAGGATCAGGTATCAGGCACCAAAAAACAAAAAATCATATCATTGTAAATGAGGGGGAGTGCAGAGTGGAGACCCAAAGCCCGTCTGCAGGCAACTGGACACTCCCTTAATGAAGGGTCACGGGGAGGAGATGAGCCCATAAGGGTGCAGGGTAGCAACGATGAAACATAAAACTTTCCTCTAGTTCTGAAATTGTTCCTCCCCCCCACTATCATGAT